ACTCACCTCAGCCTCCCAAAGGCGCGGGATTACAGGCTGAGCCACCGAGCCCGGCTGTTCCTTCTTTTTGAACTAAAAAGCTGCTTCAGCTCCACATTCTCTTGCCACTCTCGACTCTACTCTCGGGAGTCGCAGGCCAAATGACGCCCCGTTAACCAGTAAAAGATGTGAGCTGGCAGCGGCCAGGGTGGCTGCGAACCACCTGTGGAACGAAGTCAGGGCAGAGGCAAGGGCATATCTGGAGCAGTGTCGGGAGGGGACCCTCGTGCTCCCAACTGCTGGGCAAAGTAAACAGTAGTTGCCCCACTGCAGCCCCACTGGTCAGCTAGGATGCTTTTTCCCGGGCGGGTCCACCTGAGGAATGTGACCTCCTGGCGCAGCCCTTCCCCTCCTGGGCTGCAGAATCTTGGAGCAATCCCCTCTCGTCTCCACCCACCGACCTGCAGACCCGGGCTGCTTTCCAGCCCCATGCCTGGGAAGCCAGGTTCCAGCTTCTAGAAAACAGCAAACTATTGGACGAGGTCTTGGCTCCTGAACAGGAAAACAGGTCGAGAAGGAGGCCAAACCAGTGTGGCAGGTCCTGTGTGCCAACATCACCACCTGCAACTCAGGTGCAGAAACACCAGGCCGCCTGGCCTCCGGGTCAGACCAGACTGCGTGGGGAAACCGCCCGAGCCTGTGGCCTTCCACCCGGGCAGCCGTGCCCAGCTCTTCAGACCCCACGCAGCAGCATTCCCTCCTCCCCGGGCCAGCCCCAGGCCTGTGCACAGCAGTCCTCGCCCGCCTAACAGTAAGCCCTTGTCTGCCACCCTGGACGCCTGGGCAGAACCTGCTTCATGGCACTCCCAGCCCCGTTTGTGTACACTGTTCAGTGGGACAAACAGTTACCACATGTTCCGAGCCGCCTCGTCATCCTCGTGTAGAAACAGAACTTTCTACCAGAAAGATGTCTACACTGAAGGACAATGGTCCGAGACTGTGTGAGCCAGCCAAACCCCAGCTGGGCAGCACTGAGCTCAGCCCAGGAAGGAAGGCGGCAGGGAGATGGCAGGGGGAGGGCCAGGGGACACTCACCTTTGGAGCCAAGGGGCAGGGCAGGATACCTCTGCTTGCCTAGGAGAGAACACACAGCCTGAGGTCAGCTCACGCCACCCACAGCTGCCACAGCGAGGATCCCCTCCGCCTTGGGGTCTCCATGGGGAGCTCTTCTGGGGAATCTGAGGCGCCACCACCTTGGTGGGGTCCAAAGGACAGCACTTCAAGGCCCTCCGTTCAGGGATGGCCAAACGGACTGGAGTCCTTGAGGGGAGGGGACGTCGCCCACCGCTGCTTCCTGGATCCGGGACCCGGCGCTCACCAAAGCAGCGGCGCAAGCATGCCTCCTTGGAGAGATAGCTGTTCTTGTTGCCCCGGCACCCCCCGTAGACGAAGGTGTCACAGGAGTTCTTCTCGGCATCAAAGTACCAGCGTGGGAAGGCGGCGCGGCAGGGCCCAGTGACGGCCTCGGCAGCACAGTATTCTGGAAGCAAGACAGTCCCCGGGACAGAAATCAGCGGGGTCCAAGGGAAGCGGAACCGAGCCGGAATGCCCTGAGTAGACACGGAGCTTCAGCCAGTGAAGAAACATCTCTGGTGAAGAGACTCGTAAGTGACAGCCAAGGCCAACCCAGCTCAGCCGACACTGCTCCATATTTTCAGGTAACTCCTTTAGGCCCAGCTGAGGCAGTTTGGTGATGACCCTATGCCAGGCACTGATCTCGGCACTTTACATGCACTGACTCAGCCTCTGCATCTGCCTGGGACCCTCATTTTATTCACGAGAACTCTGAGGTGGGCCACACAGCTGCTGAGAGCAGAGGCAACTTCCAGAACCGCCTGCCATGCTGCCCCTGGAGCAAAACTCCGCTGGCTCACCCTGCTTCCCGCTGGTGGGCGTCCACGTGAGGCCTGTCGCCCCGAACCAGACCCCGGGGAAGGTGGGGAGCCTCACACCGAACCTCCTCGGTGGAGACCTGCAAGTGTGCCCCCATCCTCAGCAAAGAAGAAAACATCTTTTGCTCCACAGATGCACTTTGCTTTTACCTCCAAAGTTGAAAGCATCGCCAGAGAGGTCATCAGAATCCTGCCTTCTGGGAGCTGAAACACAAATGTCTGTGTCAGGGAGGCTGTCACGGGCACAGAACACCCAGCCCGCTGGGCCGAGTCTGAGGCGCTCACTGAAGACTGTGGGCACGCCGGCCCCTCCAGGAAGGGCGCAGAACCCCCTCCCGCGGCGGCTCTGCTCTGTCATCCCAGTCCCAGCGGGCTCTGCAGCACACCGCGCATGCCCACGAGACGGGGAGGCCCAGCTGCCGCTGCGGGTGAATGACGCGCATCCCCGTCAGTTTCTGGTGTGATGAGGGAGATGGTCTTGTCCAGCCTTTCTGACACAGCGGGAGCGTCCCTTGCGCTCCCCCAGGGAAATTCTGTTCTCCAACAGACGGAAGCCCGAGTTATCATGCTGGTGCCCCAGGACTCTGGACGACCTTGGAGGGGCCAGCTAGGGAATAAACCGCGAGCCCAGGCAAGCAATGCCAGGACAGTCACGGGACTAGTGCGACTGGAAAGTGATTCTAACCTCTCTCTCTGGCATTCTGCAAGCCAGTGAGCCCCACAGTCACCGGAAATGCCACCTCTTTTCATGTGGGCACGGGTGCCAGAGACGGAGAGCCAGAGCCAAGACTGCACCAGCATGTGGGGGCTGGCCATCGGAGGGGGGTCCCACCCTCCAAAAGGGGTGAGTGGAGCCCCTCCCTCCACAGCAGGTTTCCCTGCCCAGCTGAGCCCGCCACCTGCAGACTAGCCCCAAGGGTGCGTCTGTCACTGGCAGTGCATCAGGACCACTCACCCCAGGCTCCCGAAGCAGAGTCCTTAAAGCATAAAGAGGAGAGGGGCAGCGGCTGTCAGCACTACAAGGCAAGCTGACACAAAGCTCAGGGTCAAGCACTGCAGGATGGGGAGGGCGGGGAGGCGGAGGCGGAGGACAAGGACTTTTGGACGGGGGAGACAGCAGCAGCAGGGAGCAAAGCAGGCAGGACAGGCCAAGCGGGAGAATGGGGAGCAGAGACAACACAGCCGGCAGAGGCCAGAGAGCAGGGGAGGGGCCTGACCCTCACGAGCAGCAGCCACCTTGAGCTCGTCCTCCAGAAGGAGGTGCGGGCCAGCGAGGAGGCAACACAGGACCCTCGGGCCTCTTGTCAGCTGGACAGAGTGAACTTGCTAAAGTGAGGACACTGGAGCCTCAGCTGCAGCCCAGGCCTGCCCATCTGCCAATTCTGAGTAAACAGAACTAGGAGGTGGAAGCGCTTCACAACCCCCTGTTACAAGTGTCCCCTCACAGTTCCCCGTCTGGGTGGCCCTTCTCCATCCTGGGCCTCTTGAAACACGTACCACTTGGGACAGAGGACTCTGCTCCATTCCTGCTGGGGGTCAGATCGTCAATGGCATTCTCTGCAAAGGGACAAATGAGCAGCACGGTGAGAAAATGACCCTCCAGGACCGCCGGTGAAGAAGAAGACTGTGTCCGAGCCCACTGAGGGTCTAAACTGTCCTCTGCGCCTCTCACCACCATTTCCATTCTTCTTTCCTAGGGACCGTCAATGGGCATGTGAGACCACAAGAGTGCCACACTTGGAAATAAGGAACCAAGATTGCCCTTAAACTTTAAGATCAACCTGCAGGGAATCAGAGGAAAGACGTGCAAAGTGACTTTAAAAAGATAAGAATTAGCCGGGCTCAGTGGCTCAGTCTGTAATCCCGCGCCTTTGGGAGGCTGAGGTGAGTGGATTGCCTGAGCCTGCAGGTTCGGGAACCGCCTGGGCAACTTGGCGAGACCTCATCTCTACAGTAAATCAAAATGAGCCAGCTGTGGTAGCGCGCGCCTGTAGTTCCAGCTACTTGGATGGCTGAGGCGGAAGGATCGCCGGAGCCCAGCAGGTCGAGGCTGCGGTGGCCGGAAGCGGCCACTGTACTCCAGTCTGGGCGACAGAGTGAGACTCCAACTCAAAAAAAAAAAAAAAAAAAAAAAGACAAGAATGGCTTTCAGGGCCAAATAATCTGTTTAATTGTATCAATTCATCTAAAGAATTAAAAAGTTATGGGGGGCCAGGCATAGTGGCTCACGCCTTTAATTCCAGCACGTTGGGAGGCAGAGGTGGGAGGATTGCCTGAACCCACGGGTTTGAGACTAGCCTGGGCAACTTGGTGAGACCTCATCTCTACAATAAATAAAAAAAATTAGCCAGGCGTGGTAGCACACACCTGTAGTTCTAGCTACTTAGAAGGCTGAGGTGGAAGGATTGCCTGAGCCCAGCAAATTGAGGTTGCAGTAGCCATGAGCATGCCACTGCACTCCAGCCTGGACGACAGAATGAGACTTCAACTCGAAAAAGTTAAGGGGGTGAGCAATATTGTAAATGTGGCCAGGTGCCATGGCTCACACCTGTAATCCCAACACTGGGAGGCTAAGGCGGGAGAACTGCTTGAGCACAAGAGTTTGAGACCAGCGACATAGCGAGACCTCGATTCTACAAAAAATTTTTTAAAATTTTCAGGCCGGACATGGTGGCTCAAGACTATAATCCTAGAACTCTGAGAGGCTGAACAAGAGGACTGTCTGAGTCCAGGGGTTAGAGACCTGCCTGGGCAACTTAGTGAGATCTCGTCTCTACAATAAATTAAAAAATAAGCTGGGCATGGTGGCGCGCACCTGTAGTTCCAGCTACTTGGAAGGCTGAGGCAGAAGGATCGCCAGAACCCAGCAGGTCGAGGCTGTGGTGGCCGTGAGCTTGCCACTACACTACAGCCTGGGTGACAGAGTGAGACTTCAACTAAAAAAAAAAAAAGGCTGAGGCAAAAAGGGATAGCCTGAGTCCAGGAGGTTGAGGCTGTGGTGAGCTGTGATTGTGCCACTGTACTCTAGTCTGGACAACAGTGCAGACTCTGTCTCCAAATAACAACACTGTAAATGCACTTAATACCTCTGAACTGTACACTTTTTTTTTTTGAGTAGGAGTCTCACTCTGTTGCCCAGGCTGGAGTGCAGTGGCATGTC